AGACAGATCAGGGTTAAATCAACATAGATTTTATTGCCGTGAAATGTTTGATCAAATGTGGTCATTATCTTCATAGACTCATGTAAAACAGGTAGCTTGTATAGGAAATAGAAATATAAAAGATTATGTTTTTCACCACTGAATTATAAATTAAATTAAATGGAAGGAAAAAAAACAAACCAAAAGTCCAAAGCAATAAATAGGACATTGTTTGTTGGTGACCAAGTGCGCACTCACATTTAAATACAATCACAACAGCTGCTGTACAGAACAGAATTAATTGTACAAAATAAAGAAAAGTAAAGAATAGCAGTAAAAAGATCAGACCTTTCCAAATGACCTTCACCTGGCAAAGGAAAATGACTTTATTTTCCTCCCTCATTCCCCACACAGCTGTATGTGAATTCTTGTTAAACCTGTAATGAGGGCAGAGGCAAAGGATACTTTAATAAATACAGTTCCTGTATAATTTACTGATTCTTCCTTGTGTTGCAGGCTTCTGTCTTCTACTAATGCTGTTTCTTCTTGCCCTTAGAAATAAAGAATCAGAGCAGCAGAACTATTTCTCCAAAGCATAAATGAAAGTCAAATGACCTTGGAATTCACCAGCAGCCCTTTTGGATCCCTAAGACATCTAAGACCAAAATTGCGTGTTGGTATTAGGAAACAAACAAACAAACAAAAAATAGCAGTTAGAGATTGTAAAGTTAAAACTGGCTCTTAGGACAACAAACAGCCCTTCTTGAGCCTGGCTGCAAAATTGTGAGCTGCGCCTGTGCCACTGAGTCACGTCCAAAGGAAGAGATGAACTGGGGAAATATTTACACAGAGGTCCAGGATTTGGAAGGACTATACATTGTGCCTGCTTTGTAGCAGATATTTCTGGTTTTAGGAAAAGTCAAAGAGAAACTTCAACGAGCAGATTCCATGTTGATTTGGAGAGCTGAAGTCTTTTCCCAACAAATGTTGGTGTTTATCTTTAAAAACGAAGCAAATGAAAGGTCTAAATTCACCCCTTCTGCCAGTTCTCCAAGGCAACAGAATGACACCTAGCAGGAGTCAGGGTTAAAGATGGCAGCACAAAGGACAAAGTTCTTGACAGTCTTCAGCTGTAGGTGGCAGAGCCATCACTGCTTGTCTGTTAACAGGCCATGTGAGCTCTGTTCCAATTCTCATCATCTGATAAAACTCTCCCTTTACTACATTACCTGTCTGTCATTAATGGGGCTAAATGGGGACTGTGTGAACAGAGAACCAAATCTCAGGGCAGAGGTGAGAACGTTGCTCCTACTCTGCCAGACTCACCTGCTAAGCTTAGTCAGCACAAGAGCTGATTTGACTCACAGTGAGTAACACCTTGCTCTAGAAAAATAAGTTTGTAGTTAGTGTGTTTGCTCCATGAGTAATTTGCTAATAAATCCAAGAGTCAGAAGCTGCTCTTTGTGAATCAAATGTGCCACGTAGTTATGATAAGGAGTAAGTTCAGGGGCCTACTTAAAATGTTTTGAGATTGGTGGTGGGAAAGGTGTAACTCATACAGAGCTGAGCATTGGGCTGAAGCACAAAAGGTTATGAATCAATGAACAGCACTTGGGTTATGAATCAATTTTTGGGGTCCAACAATCATAATGACTCATTGTCCTGGCCATGAAACTTTGGAGACTTTTCTCTACTCCCTTGAATATTTTGACATTGAATAAACATTTCCTTAATCTCATAAAGGAATTTTTTTCCCCCTTTTTCTGATCAGATAAATTTCCAAGTCAAAGAGTTACAAGTATACTCCAATCTGACACCAGAGAGTACCCACTAACTTCAAATCATGAACTTGCTTCAGATTTATCTAGGTCATGAATGTGTTTGGAGATGGCAATGTTTTACAGAGACAAGAACTAAGAAAATAGTAAACCCCCCAAACCTCCAACATGGGAACATGGGCATGTTCCCATGGGCAGCATGGGAGTGTAAATGGGAACCTTGGCTGAGATTTTAACAGGAACATCAGTGAAATAATTGCTTAAAACTCCACTGAAAGTTCCAGTGTCAAAAACTAAAGGTATTTCGACACCAAACTGCTCAGATAGCTAGTTCAGCAGAAAAGGCAGTGATAATTATTGTTCGTTCAATAAAATTATTAAGTGAAATTAAAAATAAAAATTAGAGAGCCTGCCAAGGCCAGAAAACTTGCAGCCACATTTTAAAAAAATAATTTTGCTTTTAAAATGTGCTAAAGGACTAAGGGAAAAACCAGAACATTTGACATGGAAATAAAAACAACTTCCTAATGGTAAGAACATATAGCAGTTCAATCAGGTAGAATCAGATCTGTATAGACCATTAACAAAAATATACAGGGGTCATAAAACCAAAAACTAGATGTTCTGGGGCTTGAAGTGTGCTCAGATTATTAATAGTAATAGATCAGAGGGTAATCCGGCCAAAAATAATCTGTTGCTTGCGGAACAGACGCTCATGGTGATTATGCAACACTGAGAGACAAGTCTTGAAATAAATTATTGTTGGGACCTTGGATCATATCCTGAATAAGCAAATATTTCATATAAGGTTGTATACATATTATTTGCAATGTTAAGCTTTTTAATTTGATGGCAATAAAATGTTACTTTAACAAGAGTTTCACAGATTTATTTGCCCAAACATTTATTTCTCCTTCTCCAAAAGTTGATATTTTAGTGGAAAAAACTGAAAAGGATTTTAAAAACCTTTTACCTATTTTTTTTTTTTGCAAAAAAATCTAATTTAAATTTATCCACATATTGAAATATATGTTAAAATTAAATTGCTTTACAGCAGATGTGGCAAATCTGCTTATCTGACACAGTCAAACTTTTGATTTTTCCTTTTCCTCACCCTCAGTCTGGGCAATAGAAAAAGCAGAATAAGTTTCCTTTTCACTTTTAATCATGGTTACTTACTTTCACACTCAAGTATTTAATGTTCTAGGACAGTTCCACAATGTTTCTGCTGAAGACATCTCCAAGGACTGTTCATTTGATTTTAGCATTTCTCCAGAAGTACAGGTACAAATTCATTAAATTAATTTAATAAAGTTAAATTTTTTGAGGCATTTATCTGCTCTTGGTGTGTTAAGGAGAGTCCCATGGAGATACACTTGTTCCCCTCAATGCAGGAGGGTGACTGGATAGCACTAAAGCAGGTATCTGAGTTATTCTCCTACCCTGAGCAAGGACAACTCTGGACAAAAGCATAGGATTATTTTTTTCCCAGATTTTCTTTAAATAACCAGTCAGGGACTCCTTACTTTCCAGAGTGTTTTCTCATGGTGGTGGCAATATCCTTACTACCTTGAGAGGAACAGCATCATGCCATTATCACTCTATTGCCTTCCATAATTTGAAAGATGAGGGTGATATTGTTAATTCAGTTTGATTCCTTACATCTGGCTCTAAACACTGCAACTATTTGTCCCTAGGTTTAGTCTAAATTGACCATCCAAGGTGTAATCCATGCTAGCAACTTCTAGAGAGTGAAAATGTGTGTGAGAGATTTTGTCACCCACAGTTATCTACTGATGTCTCTGGGAGAGTCCAGTTCTCCTAAAGGTTTCATGTCATAACTGTCAAAACTCTGTCTTAGATACCTAAAACATCTCAAGTGGCTCTAAACATTTACACATGTACAACTATATTTTTTCCTACCACAGAAAGAGTTGAATTGTCCCTTGGAAGAAAAGGTCTGGTTCTGCTGACATGAAGTAGAGTCTAGGTGGACAACACCAAGCCCTCCCAGTAATACCATTCCTTCCTAACTTTCTCAATAAGGTGATGTTAGGGAAACAAGAAAAAGAATGGAATAAAGGTCTCATTGAAGAAGGAGTTAGAATGTGACTGGAAAAAAACTCAGAGTCTTGAGCTCAAACTATACTTCCCATGTTTTCTGCATGAGGATGTTTGGTAGGTGGTAAAGTAATATTTGAAAAGTACATTAGCAAGGTTATTATCACTCAGCTGCTGTGGACTAAGCCAACCTGTCTTATTTGTAGATTTGTTTTTATTTCCGGTGAGTGGATTCCGTTAGACCTCTGCACCTCAGCTGGATTTATAAAGACAATAAAGCTGCAGAAACAAGCTGTTGAAGAAAAGAAAGCATCATAAAATCAAGGCAACACAAAAGATGACTCCAATTGCCTGCATTGATTGTGTTGAACAGAGACCCAGGTATGGCAGAGTGCTGTGGGACCAGGGGCTGAGAAAATAGACAACAGAAGCCCATGCTGTCATTTAAACTGAAGTTCACAGAGGGATCAGGGCTCTTACTGAGACTATCAAGGTTTGTTTTCCTTTTAGTCTGCCATGCTCCTTTCACAAGAGACACCATGGCTGCTGCATGAATGGTCAGAACAGATTCCCAACAGGTTCTGGCCTCATTCCAGTGCAGCTTTATTGTGCATTCCCATGTACAGGACTTTTCATTTGTCCCATGACCCAAGAATTCCTCTTTTGCCAGATTTCCATATTGTTTTTCAATGGTGAGTAGATCAGGCATTTCCCATGGACCAGAGGAGGCCTTTCTTTCAATCTATCCAGCATGAGAGCAAAGTCAGGATGCTGGAACTGTGTGTCCCACAACTGATGCACTGACCCTAACTCTGCTGCAGGAGAAGAAAGTGCTTCAAATTTCATGTGCCACCTCAGCCAAGTCCAGAAGTGCTTATAAAAAACAGTGTTAGTGTATCATTCAGAACAATCAAATACTACGTGCACAAAAAAGCAGTTTAGAGCAACATAAATTTTAAAAAAGTGACAATTTCATCACACAATTACTGTACACTGCTGTTCTTAGGGTTGAATACTTTCCTCTCTCACGCTCTCTCTTTCTCTCTGTTTTAATCTTTCTTTTTTATTTCCTTTTATTTTCTTGTTACTATTTTTTTCTTTCCCCACCCCCCCTTTTTTTTTTCCTGGATTTGGTCCACTGGAGATAAATTGCCCTCAATGATATATATATTTAAAAAAAATATCAGCAGCAAGACTCTCTCGAAATAGATTCTGTTTGATGTAGCTAGTCTGTCTTTTCTGTTTTGCCCTCTTTCACAGCAGCCTCTGAAGTTTTCCGCAGGGGGGCTTTCTCCGAGTTGGCGTGTCCTTGGCCGGATTCCGCCGCTCCTCCGTTTTTGTGCGATGTGTGCTTTTCCAAGTAGTTCAGCATTTCACTGAGAACAGTTTGGAAAGTGCTTAGGGCAGCACATATTGCAGGAGTTCCAAAACCATGAGTGATCAAACTACAAATGGGAAGGAGACAGAGGGAGAAAAAAAAAAAGGGGGAAAGAAATACACACACACACATATAAATATCAATGCACCCACAAACACTGAGGAGTTTACAGTACACTCATTTTGCTATACTGAAATTCAAGATTTGCTCCCTAAACTATTTATTACCTGTGGGAGAAACAGAAAAGAAAGGAATAGAGCCAAAGAGCAGACTGCATGCAGCTTCAAAGGTTGTTTTTGGTGGAGCCTCAGTTCTGAAACACCATGGGACACACTCTCAGCAAGTGCAGACTGACACAGGGCTGTTGACTTCAGAGAAGCAAAGACAGAATCCATGCCCTTGGCTCTGCAGCATTGCTAATTTTCCAGTGTCATAAGTCTAGCTTCCCCTTCTTAGGTAAATAAAAGGAATTCTGTGTGGTTTATTCACAATTTTGGATCATACTTAGTTAACTTGATGATCTTGAAGATCTTTTCCACCCTTAATGATTCTGTGATTTTATAGCTCTTAAACATGACTGGTTATTCTAAATGAAGATATGACTGCATCTGTGCTAGGAAATTCAGCAAAGCCAAGGATACCATCTCCAACCCCCAGCACAACTGGCATGATTTGATCATATCCCTGATGCTAAACACATGGACCATCCAGCAGGTTGAGATCTGAATTTCCTGTTGGGAACAGACCCTGGCCAATACCCATGGCCAATACCCATGGCCAGTACCCATGCTCAAGTGATGAACAGAAAATGTTTCACTAGAGCTGGTTTAGCCAGGCTGAATTAATGAACAATTCTAACCAATTAGTGGCAAAAATAACACAGTTCTAACAATGCTTCCCTGGTAGTGTTGAATTTACTGTGCATGATTTGCCCTGTTGCATCTTTCATCTAAACATCTAAATAAGGGGGTTTTATGAACACTGAATTTTTATTGTCATTGTTCCTGGCTGTCATCTGTAGATCCAGAAGTGTGCAAGTTTTCCACAAGTCTCATCTCTTGGATAGCATCTCGGTGAAGATCATAGAATCCCAGAATAGTCTGGGTTGGAAGGGACCTTAAAGATCATCTAATTTCATCCCTCTGCCATGGGCAAGGAAATCTTCCACTGTCCCAGGTTGCTCCCAGCCCTGTCCAACCTGGCCTTGGACACTTCCAGAGATCCAGGGGCAGCCACAGCTTCTCTTAGAAACCTGCATCAGGGCCTCTCCATCCCCAAAGTGAGGAATTTCTTCCCAATATCCCATCTAACTCTGCCCTTTGTCAGTGAAAAGCCATTCCTCTTTTTCCTGTCACTCTGTGCCCTTATCCAAAGTCCCTCTCCAGCTATCATGGAGCCTGTTAGGGTACTGAAAGGAGCTCTAAGGCCTCCCCAGAGCCTTTTCTTCTCCAGGCTGAACAGTCCCAATGCTCTCAGCCTTTCCTTGTACCAGAACTGCTCCAGCCCTCCAGTCCATCTTCACGGACTCCTCTGGACTTGCTCCAACAGCTCCATGTCTTTCCTGTGCTGGGGACCCCAGAGCTGGATGCAAACCAGCAGGATGTCCCAACTACCACAGGATATGAGATGTGCCACTAGAAATTGGTTTTTAGGCAATTGACTTTGGTGCCATTTGCCTAAATATTAAGTGTGCAGTATAAGATGATCATGAAAGGGCAAAAAATCCTAAATTTTTTATGGGCAACCAGGTTGTTCTCCTTGTTATAATTATTTATTTTGATAAGTGGTATGTGAAAACAAAAAGACCTGCCCTAATCATTCAGATTTTTGTTTTTGTTTAGAAACACAAATTAAAGATTATTTCAAAGATTGATATGCCACTGAAATTTTCAAAAGTTATTTCAGTTATTTTAATCCCACTCAGAGAAGAAAGAAGATGAAAGGAACAGAAGCTAATTTTGGGGTTTGTGGGTATTTTTGAGAAATCAATACTTTATATTGGTTTGGGTGAGGGGAAAAGAAAGCCCACATCACAGTGATTCTGACAAGGAAATAATAATTGTTTCCCATTCCCTGCTGGTTAAGATTTTGTCACTACAGTGACTCTCTGGCTGTCTTGATCAGTGAATCCTGATCTGGTGCAGAGACCCATGTGAGGGTTAGAAATATGAATCTTTCACTTAAATGATCTGTTTTCTCTGCACTTTGGCTTCTCAGTCTTTCCAGGCTTTTTAGAAAAAAAAAGTGTAAATATAGGGACTAAGGGGAAAGAGGTTTTACAGGACATGGACAATTGTTATTGTAAGTATCAAAACAACCCATGGAAAAGGCTTCAATATATTTTTTATATATTTCTGTCTTCTAGACATGGGAAACCTATTTGAGAGGAAAGCTGGTATGCTAGGGAAGACAAAAAAAAAAGTGTGAATTCTAACCAAAATGAGTGCTCAATGTGGAAATATGTCTTCATTTCAGATTGGGAGTGGCATAATCTTTTATAAAAGGTCTCCAAAAGGCTATTTACAAATAACTAGCATTTAGAACATTTATCCATCAGTCTCCAGGCACTTTTCAAAGCAGGAATTTATATTTAGTCCCAGTTAGTAATGTGAGGAAAATTATAATTAAATATTTACAAGAAATATTTTGCAGACATCAATTAATAATACCACATAAAGTTTGGATGCTTTAAGTTTGAACTTGTATCAATATGTGGATCTTTATAATTGAACATTGCAAAGAGATAAACATACCTCAGTTTAATTTTGTTTTCTTTTTAGGTATGCCTGGCATACCAGAAATATAAAAATCATCATCATTGTAAGTCATGTTTTAAACAGTTGTAAAAATTAGATCAGCTGTAGCATATATGAGTATTTTAAGCCCTTTCAAGTCACTTTAAGAGTCAGGTGATTTAATGATTTTATGTCACCTTTTATCATAATTTCTGGTCTTCAGAATTCCAGAGAAATGAAAATGTGATGGAGTTTGCAGAAACAAGGAAGAAAAAGGAAATTTTTTGCAAGAAAAAGGAAATAAAAGGTATCATTACTAGTTATGTTATTGCATTATTTTTACACTGCTTGTGTGATCGTCTGGGTCCTGATTTGGGGAACTGACTATACTGAGACACATAAAAATCTTTATGGTCTTGCAAATAAAAGAAACTAGTGTATGTATCCTGGAAGCTGGAAATATCTGCATTCATTCATTCATTCATTCATTCATTCATTCATTCATTCATTCATTCATTTCCAGTAGGTGCAAACCATAAAATCATAGAATCATTTAGTTTGCAAAATACCACCAGATCATCAGGTCCAACCATTCTCCCAGCACTGCCAAGCCCACCACTAAACCATGTCCCCAAAAGCCACATCCACGTGATTATTGAATGCTTTCAGGGATGCTGAACCCACCATTCCCCCGGGCAGCCTGTTCCAGTATCTGACCACCCTTTCAGTTAAGTTTTTCCTAATACCCAATCTACACCTCTCCTGGCTCAACTTGAGGTTGTTTCCTCGTGTCCTATCGCTTGTTACCTGGCAAGAAGGACCAACCCTCACCTGGCTACAATCTAATTTCAGGGCATTGTAGAGGCTGAGAAGGTCAAGTAAACAGTAAGTTTAATACAGGATTAAATGGAAAAGAAACTTCCTGGCCTACAATTTTTGAAACTTTCAATTTGGGAACAAAAGGAATGATACTGTGTTCATTTGACAGCTCAATAGACCTGAGAAGTAAAGTGGGAATGCTACCTTCAAAACTTAGAGGGATCGTCTCAGAAATGATCTCTAGGGGTAGAACAAACTTTAAAGTTCTGAAATGCTGAACAAGATTGTAGAAAATACCAGAATGGGACAAAGTCTGATATTAAGGTATATAAGTGTAGGCGCCAATTTGTAGGCGTTAACATCAACAGTGCCAAACTCCTGTTACCACCAAAGGGGCCTTAATGGAGTTTCCTGTCTGCAAGAGTCTACAGAGATTTGATATGTCCTGTGACATTTGGAACACCTGCACAGATTTGATGGATATGATATAGGACTGAAGCCCAGCCTGCTTCTAGATGTTTTAGTGCTGGGAAGGTTAAACTTGTGTATCTCAAATTGTTTACACAAATGAATTGAGTCCTGGGGCTTTGTTCAATACAGTCACAGAAGTCTGGAGAATGAATTAGCACCTTAAATGGATGTGTCTCCTTTATGGTTAGCTGCATCATTCTCCTGGCCACACTAGGGGCTCCATCCTAAATATAAAATGTGATTTGGGTGTTCTTTGAGACGTTCTGGGGCACCCAGACATCTATGTCATGTGAATAGGAAATAATACAGAGGGGTTAGAGGGGACCAGGACCCTTTGAAAGCAGCAGTGGGTGGATGGAATGCCTAATAGCACCTTAAAAGGCTTAGATATATCTTGCCCTAGATCTTCATTGACTACAAGAGAAACTCAGACATCCAGCTTACATAAAACCACCAAGATATTGCAATTTTATCCAGAGCAGAATCTGAAACTTCTGGTTTAAAAACTAATGCTCATAGGAAAAGAATGCTTTGGAGTGAGTAAGGGGTCTATTTTCTTTACAGTTTAGCCTTCTAGTTACCAGTAATCATTAAATATGGCAGCTCTCACCAACATAGCCTTGTGTTTCCTATTAAAAAGCCAATTTTTTTAGTGAAATGATGCTGCAGAGTCTTGTGGTAACTCTACTTTCAGTTCCTGATTAATAGACTCTTCTCCACAAATGGGGATATGCAGAGCCTTTTAATTTTCCCATGAAGCTTATTAAGAGAAATAATTTTATAGAAAATTTCCAACCAGCCCTTCTTGCCAAGCTCCTATGAGGGTGCATTTTATTAGGCTCACTTTAGGTAATGAGCATAAAAAGGCCGAGAGATATTATCTTCTACTTTATCTTACATTTCTATCAGTAATTCCCCTTGCTCTAATTTTGGTGGTCCTTACTTCTCTGCAAGTTAAAGTCTTTGAAAAATTCAAGAAAGTTGGATAATTTCCCTTTGCTGATGAAAGTAAGTTTCAAGTTTGGGAGAAAATCTGATTTTA